ATATTTAAAACTTACCCGTGTAAGCCGATGTTAGCTCATCCTAGGCTTCTCAGCGTGATCCGATCCAAATAGCAGGTTGCTCAGTTCCATAGCTATTACTATACTAAGGCTTTAGATAGTCCAAATATTTAAGCATTAGTCTGACTACCAATGCACTCTTCAACATAATGTCTATCTCTCCAATTAGCTATTTCCAATAAGACTTTTAGACCAGATGTATCTTTGAGACCGGGACCGGTCATTGTGAATTGGTCTCACATGTAGAGGCTTCACTGAACGGCAGGGGTTTTAACTTAGATTGTTAATTGTACGGAAGACCTTTCAATTGGATTGTTTATGATTAATTAAATATTTAAACTATATTTTTAATAAAAAGAATGCAAAAACTTATAGAATTTGCTAAATATAAATTAATCTTTTACAATAATTATAAAAGTTATATATGAGTATATCTCCTTTAACCTTTATATAAGTGCCTAATGAAACATATAAATTAAAACTATAAGACTACTTTAATAAAAAACGCTTTAACTAATTTATAACCAGATAGACACAAAATAAATATTGATTTACTTTTGGAAAAATATAACAAATAAATAAAATATATCTATTATTATTTATACCAATTTATTATTTGAGTCTATTTAGTAGGCTGGATATTAATATATCAATTAGTGGTTATTGTTTTTTATCCAATATTCATTATTTTATTACTACTTAGACATTATTATGCTAACTAAAAATAGTAAAGACAATCCTTTCCTATACTCAACCGACACTCAAAAATAAAAAAGTGAAAAACAAATTTACCATAAATAAAACAATTAATAAAAAATTAAAAAAAAAAAAAAAAAAAAAAAAAAAAAAAAAAAGACAACAACATAATAAAAGCCACGTGGCTAAGAAAAAGTTGAAGCTTTGAAAAGTTGAAGTTTTGAATGGGGTAGCTTTGTTTTTTTCACAGAAAACGAAGCATTATATTGCAGGAGAGTTTCCTTCTCACTGGTTGATAAATACCCAGGAGAGAAATTTTCAATAGTGAATTGTAGTACAACCACTGAGAGGTGAGTCTCAACGTCGGCATCAAGCGAAGGTGGTCCGGCCACCATCCGCTTCCAGAGCAACCCACACACTCCAACTCTTTTCGTTTTTTTTTTTTTTTTTTTTTTGATTTGCTGGGTTTGAATTGAAACCGTACCTGTCAGGATATTACTCAAACGTAGATAAAGCACCCCGGCGGAACTTCCGCCTCCCCCCCCCAAAAAAAACCACAATAATTCTTTGTTGTGTTTTCCGGGAATTTTTCAAAAAGAAAATACGTACCCCCCCCCCCCCCCCAAAAATGGTTTGCTGAGCGATTTTTTGCCCTCTTAATTATTTATTTGCCACCTAACTCGAACTGGACACCTACCATGTCTTTTTTTTTTTTTTTTTTTTTTTCTTATTTGCTGGTTTGAATTGAACCGTAGTAATTACTCAAACCGACTCGCCAATTATCCGATTCACAATGGTTGTGAGCGATTTTTTTGCCTCTAATTTTATGCACCTAACTCGAACTGGACCACAGTCCGATTTCCAGTTAAATCGATCGAACCAGCTGATCTGATCCGATTTTCAGAACAATCATTTCAACTATTATTCTAACTAAGAGTCTTTCTAGCTTTATATAAAGGGGATAAACCACCTACATGGATATGCAGTATCAACCCTTATCTTTTTATTATAATTATTTATAATTCTTTTACCGAATGAAGCATCAAATTGTTGTATACCTAAGGACTCTTCTTTGCTCCCCCTTCTTTTGTCTATATACATAAATTTTACATTAGTGCAATAAATCAGTATTCCACAAAATGCCAATTTGACACCATTTATGGAAACAACACAAATTATTCAACCATTAAAATTTATAATACATGAAAAATAATATCTAGTTGCTCCACAAGTAATTATGCAATCACATAGGGATAAATCCCATGGATTCACATAGAGATGAATCTGTATAATGATATAGAGGATGAGCCTTACAACTATGTAGTGACAAATCCTACAATATCACGTAAGGACAAGTCCCACGAACACATAGGGAATAAATTCCACAATATCATGTAAGGATGAGTCCTACAGGCATAGTACTACTATTCCACTTGCAGAAAGATTAAATATGAGCTCATATTCCATAAATTCATATCACTTCTTACAAGTTACAAGATGTACAACTAACTTATAGGCTTTGGAGTAATTATAAATTATGCAAGTCACTATTCTGTCAATTCATTTTCACTTATGCAAGTATTCATGGTCGGGCCATACTTTTATTCATGCACATCAGTTTCGTTTAATACTCATATCATATACACTTACACTTACAGTTACAATTTATGAGATTACATTAAATTTTGTCCTAACCTCACCCATACGCCTAAGGAGAAGAATCTGTGTCGATCAGCGCTCCGGTCAATCACGTCGGTCTGACCAAAAGGTCCAGTAAGTCCTTTATGACTCTTAGCTTTTAATATTTGCTCTCTTCTTCTAAATGGCTCCAAGAGCCTTTCTTTTTCCAAAAATAGCGATTTAAAGCTAAAACCATTTTGGACCAAAAATTTGGTGATCCAAAGCCAAGAAAAACCATTTTCAGTGATCCAAAGCCAAAATCACTCTTTTCATGAAAATAACAATTCAATGCCTAAACATGATAATTAAAGGTCTTCAATAAACCTTTCAAATTTCAAATCAACCAACCCCTATTTCACAATGGAAAAAAAAATGTTTGGTCTTAATTCTCATTCCAATGGATAAGCAGGCATGCTTGACTCTCTACACTCGAGTTGTGTACTAAATCCACCTAAAAATTTTATTTTCTTTCTTTCTTCTGATTTTTTTTAGATTGGGAGACGTGTGACTGGCCTAGAATCCCATCAAGGAGCTAGAAGCAATACTCCCTAATTTTGTAGTTCCCTCTTTACCTTTTGCTTTATTTTATATTGTTTATGGCTTTTTCAATTTCTTTTTATCACTTTTAAATAAATTTCATTCTCTTCATCTTAAATCTTTTCGTTTGGATTGGACATTAACAATTGGCCAATTGATTAAACATTTTAACCGAAAACCTAATCTCCAAATCCTCTTTGATTTCGTCGATTATTGCACTTTTACAAATTGGAGTCAAATAAGATTTTTCTTTAATCTACCCCATAGTTAAATTTAAGTGGCGATTCTATAAAAAAATCATTTTGTGATATGAGCGTTTCAATCCCGTTTAATGGATTGAACTTGGCACTCGGTGGGAGCCTCACAGATAGTAAACCTTAATTCTGAATTTTAAACCATCTTTTTTATGAAGATTTTTCCCTCTAGTATTTCAAAGAATAAAATATTTTATAAGACCAACTTTGAAATATTAAATGAATAAAGAAAGATTATTCAAAAATATAGTTTGTGCTTAGAAGTTGCATTTTTAATCTTTTTTATTTTACATAAATCCTAATAAGTCTATTAACCAATATACTAAGCTATAATCTTCAGCAATCTTCATAGTATCTTCAACAAATCTTCAATATTGAAATATGATTAATTCTTCACTTCTTTGAACTTAAATATTTTGCAATTCGAACTTCAACACAATAATAATTTTCAATTTAGTTATTTTGTTATTCATCAAAACATTTGAGATTGTAATCTTAAGCTAACAGGAGATTCATGGGCTATTTTAAATATACCTCTATGTTTGAATGCCATTGATGACAATCCTATTTGAAGTTTAGAAAGAAAAGATATATTTAGTGTCAAATCTTGTTACTTTTTGTGTCACAAAATTCTTAGGAGCAATTTTGAGTTTGATTCCAATCCTATATAGCATAAATTATGGAATTTTAATGTGCTTTAAGGCAAAAGAATTCATTTGGAGAGTTTTAAAGGGGTGTTTCCTACTAAAGAGAGGCTTTTTAGAAAATGTGTTGATGTTGATATGATTTGTTGCTATTGTTATAATGTTGGGGACTTGGATCACGTACTTCTAAGGTGTTATAAGGCCAATGGGATATGGAGGAGGCATTGTTTTATGATCTCTAACCTCTTGTTTTCCTTTAAAGATTTTTTCACAGAGGTTGCTATTTCTTCAACATCTGGTGACTTGGCAAAATTAATTTTTATTGCATGGAAGATTTGGTTAGCAAGGATCAATTTGTATGGCACCAACAACTCCTGTCCACAGATGAAATACGTCACTTAGTTTCCCATTCATTGCAGAAATTGGTTGTTGCATCTGTAATTCATCATCAGTCCTTAATATTTGAATCTCGTGGTAGTAGCAGGTTACAGTTGCATAGTGGTATCCACAGTATCAGGTCTGCATGGTTTTCCACCTGCACGCGGTTTCAGGAGCAGCGAATATCTGGTTTTTGGGTTGTTTTCGAGAGTCAAGAGAGTGGTTTTCTTCATACACTTTTGGATCGTGTCCATGATGATGCTTCGTCGATTGAGGCAATGGCTTTGAGAACTTGTTTATTCCGGGCAGAGTCAAATATGCGAAGACCTAGTTTGATTTTCTGTAATTCTCAAACTATTGTTTATGATATTCATTCTCTTGACGAGGATTTTTCTGATTTGAGAAAGCTTGTTGAAGATTGTAAGCTTATTCTTTGCAAGCTAATCTAGGGGCTCATGCTTTGGCACGAGCATCCTATCAACAATTCAACATACTAGCATGTCTGTTTAGAAATCAACTTTTGTTCTATCTACTCTTCTTAATGAAGCTTCCAAATAATAAAGATTCAGTTATCTAGCTCATTAATTTATTTACATATCAGTTCATAAAAGGCAATGAAACTCTTTTTTCAAAATCTCTCCCAGTTTGAACCATTTTAACGGAAAAAAAGCCCAAAAAATGGACGGGGCTAAATAGAAGAGAACCGCCCGACGCACGCAAAAAATTCATCAAACAGTTGGGATCACCGGATTAGTTGATTAACTTCGTCAGAAGTAAGTAATAATTTAGCAAGTTTATGACCACAAAATAATTTCCTTAATCATTTAATTAATATACAAATTGTAATTTAAACAAATTAATTAATTAATTAATTAACAATTACTTTCAATTCTCAGAACACTAGTTCTAATCCGTACAGCACTCCGGCATGCTTCTCCGGTCCATCGTTAACAAAATAGACATCCCTCATCTTCTGAAATGCGTGCCACGTCAGCAAGCTGTCTGATCCGGCCTGGTGGCATTTACCGACTGCCCGATTCACCTCCAGTGTTCGGGCCACCCGGTCCAAACCACCGTATAAGCTATTGCAGAACCGCATCAAGTGTTTGATGTCGTATACTCTGCTTCCGAAAAACACCCTCATCAATCTCAAGAAATCCTCTAAACAAGCGGGCAAGCAGCGGCTCGTGAGGATCTTTACCAGGTAACCGAAATCATACGCGCTGTGAAACGTAACCCAACTCACTGAGTCGTTGCACACCAGTCCCGAAGACATCATCAATTCAGCGAATCGGACTGAGTCAACTCCTTCTTCTCTGTTTCTCTCGAAGTCAATCCCCTGACGCCTCAGCAACTCGATTGAGTCCGGAGCGTGAGCATCACGTGAGACATCAAAATCCCGGAAATTGAATTCCCAGATGAACCGATCTGAAGTACCAAGATGCGGTAGATTTCCATTAGAGTCAGAGAGAGTTAAGCCTACCTGGATCAGATTCAAAGCGTCGACGTTGGATTTGAGAATCTTGTAGTGATCAGACGGGCGGCGTTGACGAAAGTAGGACTTGGTGGGGTCAACGGAAGGACGGAAAACGAGACCTGGGAATTCAGTATCCATGGAAATGAAAGGAAAGTCATCGACAAGCTCTCTGATGAGCTCAAATTCGGATTCTAAATTACTGGACCAGACTTCTCTGATGACAATATTTGGCTTATTAGAGTCCATAGCCGCTGTTTCTTTTAGAATAATGGAAAAGATAAATAAATTAAAATATTATATATATATGTTTGATGCCGGTGATCTCGTCGGTTGTGGTGGTGGTGAAGAAGAGAGTGGAGAGTGGGAGTTAAATATGGAGAAGATGGAGAAAGTGGGGAAAGAAATGGAAGGATGTTGCGTAGAAAGAGGGGAGAGAAAAGACACCGGATGGAATTTGAGTGTAAGTTCAAAGGTTCAACGCGTTACAATTTGACTGAGGGAAGTAACGGATCAGCATCCAACCAGGACTTGGTCTTACCCAATCCATGTCAGCTCTCTTGCATTATTTTTTATTCTTTTAATAAAGTGATTCTGAGGTGGATGTTGTACAGATTGTTACTTTGGAGTGACCAATTTCAATGCATCAGGTGGACTAAAGATCGTGAAAGCTACAAGCCATTTGCTCATGCGTTTGTTTTGGTCTCGCGGGAACAAGTTGGACCCTTTTTATTTATTTATTATCTAATTTTATTTTCACATGTTCTATAGGATTCTTATTTCTTGCAATTTGATAAAAAAAAATGACATTTTTTCTTACTTCATCATTCAAACTTCACTAGATGATGATTAGTTCACGTTAATTCCTCTTAAATAGAATAAAATAATATTTTTAATAAAAATTATCTAAGAAATTTAAAAATTAAAAATAAAAGAAAATAAATTAGGTATAGATTTAAGATTATTGAAGGCAATCACAACAGATAATGATCCAGCCAGAATAACCATAGAGCTTTTTCAATCTCACTGCTAGTGAAAAATTGGAAACCAAAGGTTATATTCCTATTTAGCTTTCGTTACCCTTTGAAAACATCGCAGTTGGTTGAAAAAAAAAACGTACAATTATCATTTGTTTTATACACTTGGAAACGACATCATGTTTGTTGTTGGATAGCTGTTTGTTCTAACGCTTGGTAGCTTTTATTTTTTTTTTATCTGTTTATTTCTTTAATGATTGATAATATTTATTTTGGCAAAGATAATCTAGTGGCAGTGAACTATAATGATAGCGGTGGTGGCTTTTTATTGCAGGCTAGTTTATGAGAATAATTGTATAATGGAAAAAAGAGAAGAAAAATGGAGAAAAATACAACGAAGGATTAAGTTAAAAATGAAGTGATTACGTTTTAAACTTAAGATTTTATTTGTTTTAAATTATGATTTTTGAAGTTGAATAGTTTTTATTAGTTAAAACTATTAAACATATATTATAAAAGAATAATATATTTGAAAGATAGAGAAAATAGAGAGAGATTTCTTGTATTAGAATATTAGTATCTATATCCATAGGATTAAGGAACTATTTATATAATACAAAATACATTCCAAAGGACATAATCATAAATAAGATCATAAATAAATCTATGGAGAATATAAATAGTTTTATTGATAAACTTAATGAACATCTATTATTTAATATAATATTTATGACACTTTCCATAAATATTGATTACACAAATAATATGTCTCGTCAAAACCTTACTAGTAAAAAATTCAATAAAAAAAAATCCTAATGATGGAAAAAAGAATACAATATTTTTTGTGTGTTTAAAAAATTATTTCTTCCCTAATGACGGTTTGCTTCTAGAACATTAAGTTGGCATATATAGATCTTGTACATCATTTTCTTGAATGTTGAAGTTGGTAGGAACTTTGTGAGTAAATCAGTCATATTGTCACTTCAACGAATCTATTATACATTAATATCACAATTCTTTTTGAAGATCAAATGTGAAAAAAGAACTTTAGTTATATATGTTTCGTTTTATCTCCCTTTAACTGGGCTACGCAAGCTATATTATCTTTATATAACATTGTGGGTATGTCTTTGCAAGATAAACTACATTTTTTCCGAATAAAATGAATCATAGATTTCAACCAAATGCATTCTCGACTTGCTTCATGAATGGCTATTATTTCTGCATGATTTGAGAAAGTAGCTGTTATAGATTGCTTTGTAGATCGCCATGATATAGTTGTACCTCCGTAAATAAATAAATAGTCTGTTTGAGATCTTGCTTTGTGTGGGTCAGATAAATATCCTGCATCTGTATAACTAATCAAATCTGGACTAGATTCATTGGAATACAATAAACTCATATTAATTGTCCTTTTCAAATATCTCAAGATATGTTTGATCCCATTTCAATGCCTCCGAGTAAGAGTAGAACTATATCTTGCAAGCAAATTAATAGAAAAATGCTATATCTAGTCTTGTAGTATTGGCAAGATAGATAAGTGCACCAATTGCATTGAGATATGGTCCTTCAAGACGAATAAGTTCCTCATTGTTTTCTAGAGGTCAAAATGGATCATTGTTCATATCAAATGATCAAACAACTATTGGACTACTCAATGGATGGGGTTTATCCATATAAAATCGCATTAAAATCTTTTTTGTATAGGTAGATTGATGAACAAAAATTCCTTTTGGTAAATGTTCAATATGTAAACTGAGATAAAATTTTGTTTACCCAGATTTTTCCTTTCAAATTCTTTCTTTAAATTACTTACTGCCTTTTGGAGCTCTACTAGAGTTCCAATGATATTTATATCATTAACATACATAACAATAATAACAAATTCAGATGCTGAACTTTTTATAAAAACACAGGACAAATTGGATCATTTATATAACATTCCTTTATCATATATATAATGAGGCGATTGTACCACATACGTCCAAATTGCTTTAAACCATACAAAAATATTTGTAGTTTGATTGAATATAATTCTCTAGAATTTGACTTATATACTTTAGGTATTTTAAATCTTTCAAGAATTTTCATATAAATATCATTATCAAGTAAGCCATATAAATAGGTTATAACAAATCCATTAAATGCCCTTGTCAAAAACAAAAAAAAAAAAAAAAAAAAAAAAAAAAAAAAAAAACAAAAAAAAAAAAAAAAAAAAAAAAAAAAAAAAAGAACACCTCCATTAAATGCATGTACAAGTTTCATTACATTTTTTTAAACTGAAGAAAGGTAATGAAAAAAGTAATTAAAAAAAAAAAAAAAAAAAAAAAAAAAAAAAAAAAAAAGAACACCTCCATTAAATGCATTTCAAGTTTTTCATACATTTTTAAACTGAAGAGGTAATGAAAAGTAATTGTATCCATAACAAGAGAATATATTTCTTCATAATCAATACCAGGTCTTTGCAAAAAAATCTTATGCCACAAGGCGCACTTTTTACCTTGTAATTTCATTATGCTCATTTCATTTTTGCACAAAGACTTTATTCTATCAGTTTCGTACGTCTAGACTACTGGTCCAAAAGCTTCACATTTGGCGAGTAATTTAATTCAAATTGAATTGCATCTTTCTATTTTGGCCAATCATGTCTTTGTTGACATTCTCTAACAGATTGAGGCTCAATATCTTCACTATCTTTTATTACATCAAGTGCAACATTATAGGCAAAAGCATCATCAATTACTGTTGTCACTCGATTTAGATTTCTTTTTGTACTGGCAAAAATTATTGATTTTTCCTCATTTTCTTGATGTTCATATAAATGATTTTCTTCAGGAATATCATCATGAGCAATAATATCTTGATATTTTTCATTTAATTCTTCAATAGTGCTATTAGGATTATTTGATGTTTTCTTTCTTCCAGGATTTTTGTCTTTATAACTCAATGGTAATAGCATTAGTAGATGCTCCTGCAGGGACATCAATTTGAATTGGAAGATTATCAACTAACTATATGATTTGATTATTCGTTTCGAATCAGTAAATGCATCGAGCATTTGATTTGTTATTTTTTGCAAATGGATGATCTTTTCAACTTCTTGTTCATATATAGCTGCACGAGGATCAAAATGAGATAAACACAATTAATATATAAAGATATAGTAATGATATTGTGTTTATATAAAGTAATGATATAGTAAAGATAATATAAAGATAATATATAAACACAATATAAACACAATAAAGTAATGATATAGTAATATTGAGAAAGCTAATATAAAAAGTAATGATATAGTAATAAAGTAATGATATAGTAATATTGTGTTTATATAAAGATAATATATAAACACAATATATAAACACATGATTGAGAAAGCTACAAGGCATTTGCTCCTATGTTTGTTCTGGTGTTGTGGGATCAAGTTGGATCCTTTTTATTTATTTATTATTTATTATCTATTTTTATTCATATATTTTATGGGATTCTCGTTTCTTGCAATTTGATAAAAAAACTGACATTTTTCATCAATTTATCATTCAAACTTACTAGATAATTAATTTACCTTAATTTTTCTCAAATTGAATAAAATTATATTTTTAATAAAAATTATTTAAGAAATTTAAAATTAAAAATTAATAAATTACGTATAAACTTGGGATAGTTGAAGGCAACCACAACAGTCAATGATCAAGCGAGAACAACCATAAGGCTTGTCAATCATAGTGCTAGTGACAAATTAGAAACCAAAATTATATTTCTAATTAATTTTTGTTGCCCTTTGAGAACATTACTATTTGTTGAAAAAAAAAAAAAAAACTTACAGCCATCATTTGTTCTATTGAAGGGGCATACACAGTTAGAAATGACATCATGTTATTGTTGAATAGTTGTTTGTTCCGATGCTTTAGTAGCTTTCGTTTGTTTCGATCTGTTTATTGCTTTAAGGATAAACAATATTTATTTTGACCGACATAAATCTAGTTGTAGTGAGATACTGATTATAACGATAGTAGGTGTATAATGGAAGAAAGAGAAAAAAAAAAGGGAGAAAAGCAAAAAAGAGGATTAAGTTAAAGATGAAATGATTTTGATTTGAAATTTAAGATTTTATTTAATTTTCAAATGATTAGTTTTGGAGTTGAATAGTTTTTTTAGTTAAAACTGTTAAACATATTTTTTTTTTGGGCAAAAATTAGAGTTAATTGACCGTTTGATAAAGTTTGAATCGTAAATTGATGAAATGGTCCTTTTTCCATCTAAACTTTGCAAGTTGTTTCATTTTCTCTCAATTATGTCCTTTTGTCTGTGGGACCATGGCTAATCAAATTATGAGATTTCATAACAAATTGGACATTTGGGGTCAACTTACACTCTCATATAATATCATAGCTCTCATTGCTATTTCATAAAATTTGTTTTTCATTTAAGGATAATTATATCTTTAGTGTCTAACTTTTTATTTT